CATGCCGTAGTCGTTAGACCATTGACCTCGCATCCCTACAAAGCCGGGACGGAGCACGCCGGGTTCTCACCGGACCAGGCTCTCACATCACCAAGCGCGAAGCGCCGTGCGATATTTGGCGAGTCGCATGAAGGGTGCGCTGCATCCTGCAAAGGGTTTTTGGCATCTTGTGCTTACTTCCTTGCGTACGGATGACAGCTGCGTATGAATTAATTTGTTTTCTGGTGCTTCACTACCAGAGACAGTCGTAAGCACTGTGTAACTGCCTCGCGGGTGCTTGAACATTTTAACACAACGCGGTGCGATCATCCCCCTTGCGCGGAGTGAGGGTTCTCCACCCCGCACAACATGATCTACTCGACCACCATAGTGGTTACCGCCAAAATAAAAACAGAGGTTACAAAAAAAAAGGTAATCTGGTTGCCGAGTTCACGAAGTGAATTGGCTTGTTTTACAACGTCGTTGCCAAGCGACGAAAACCCAACCCCAATGGCAAACACCGAGGGGGGGGTTATTCCGCATTAATACTCATTGCACCCAGATGAGCAAAGGGTAACCATCTTGCTTGGTATTCAGGAGGAATGAATCCAACCGGCCAGGTCAACGATGCAAGCGTATGTATGTGTGCATGTGATGTTTTCGACTAAGAGTAGACGGTTTTTTTTGTACCAGGTTGCGGGAATGTTTTCTCGCCAGGACAACGGTAAAGCAAGAAGGGCGCCCATGACGAGAGGCCAGACACAGGGGGTGCGTGTGTTGGCACACCGGCTAAGTATTATTCCCGCGTAGGTTGATAGTAAGTTACATTGGCGCATTACGGTTGATAGTAATTTACACTTGGACTTTGCGTGTGGTGGTTTATATGAGAAGGGTGTTGGACGTACTCACAACATAGATAGATTATCAGAAAGTAAACATAACCTCACAGAAGACTACCCGTTCGAGATATAACCTCAGTCGAACGGGGTGTGGCGAAGGCTTTTCAGTAAGTGGATTGAAACCAACTAGAGACTTGGCTTATTTTGAATTTGTGTAAGCCTAACACTGAGTTATCAGTAATAGCAGTTGGAACGAAGAACAAAAGCATCTGTGTATGTATGCGGATACATTCTTAATTTTATGCGGAATGTGGCCCTCACAGGGAACATGGCGCAGTGGCGTTTGACAACTTGCTGTTTTAGAAAGTACTTCGCTGCTGTATTAGGCGACTTGAATATAGACTACAGCATGTACAGCTGTAGGATTGTTGTACATGTACACGCGCTGCAATTTTTTTTTTAATTTTTTTGAATTTCAACAGTTGGATTTGTACTGTAGATTTGGGTGTGGCTGTTTCCCGCTCATTTTGAAATCTACAATGATTGTTCTTCGTGTAGGTGAAACGCGTTGAAGGGGAGGGGAATACATAGAAGAGTAGGTTAGGAGTGATACTGATTTACAGCAATGGAGTTTAGTCTTTCTTGTGTGTAATGTATCATCGAGGCAAATGAACAGGCGGCGGTCAGCACAGCAGTAGAGTTGCAGTCAGTGTAGGTAGAACTTCCTTGTTTTTCTTTGAACGGTTTGTGTCGACGAGTGTTGTCGAGACCGTTTGCAGCGTGTCTGAGCCATGTTGTAGAGCATCCTTCATGAAGGGCAGAAGCAGCAGCAACGAGTAGTAGTCGATTGTGGTGGATCTTAACTGATACGCGACGAAAGGTACACACGCACGCGTTGTATCCAAGTACACACCTGGGACTTGATACGCAGCAGGAGAAGGTGGTGTCCGCTGCGAAATCAACATGGGTGAGCGGCTTTGCACGAAACTCGATACAGCCTTCCCGCCTTGCCTCAAGTCTTATCGGAGGAGAGCTATGTAGTTGGTACCACGGCAGGGATCCGAATGCCGGCTGCTCCGAACACAATGAATGGGAGGTTGGCGGTAGGGATAATAAAACGTGAGTGTGCAAAGGGGGCTCCCTTGACCGTCTGCTCAATGCAGATTTGGAGACCATCGACGTGTTGTATCTTCACCTGGTCAAATGCCGTCATTTGATGTGAGATTTAGAAATTAATTTTGAAGAAGTGTTCACCTTGTCAGGTGACGTCATTTGATCTGAGATTAGAAGTTTTTTTTCATCAGATTTTTCAAGGGACACTGGGCACTGTGTTCCCCCTTGTGAATGGTTACTAGGTAGGGCAGTTTGTTGCCTTCGTATCCATTGTTTTTCACCCTGGTGTTGGGTGATTGAAAAAGTTTTGATGTTTTTTAGGTTTTATTTTGCACGTTACATTCCTTCCTTCCGGAGAGAATTCCAACAAAACCATTGAGTTCCATTCAACCATCCTCATGTCTCTAATAGTACGTTCAAATCAATCCTCACATCCTGATTGATACCACAGTGGCTACCTGCGTTGATACCAACATCGTTGGTTATCTGTACTTCCATCGACGAAATACGTCCTATCATGTTGCTCCTACCTCTACTCTTATTTACAGTCAAGCTTCATGAATCACCCCCATGACGAATACGGTACCAAATGTTGTGCTCAACACCAGACATACCAAAGCTGTACTCTGACATCTGAACTAAAGGAATTCATTCGGAATAAATACAGGTGTTTCCCTCAAGAAAGCTTGACAAAAATTGTTTAACTTAGTATTTGAAAATTCCTCCTTATAATGATGCATCAACATGTCCCTCATCAGCTTCAAAAAAATGAAAAAATATTCAACGCGGGTGCAACGGACGGCAATTCTGCATAATAACTGACTATGCAATGCGGCATATTTTGAGCGGTGACTTATTATTGTCTCGATGTGAGGAAACCTACGATAGATACGACTTCGAAGAGCTCATAGTACCTCGTTTATCATACATACGTGCCTGACAACCTGTCATGTCTTGGACTATTTCCATGTCTGTCTATAAAGTGCGCGCCACTCTGCCTTCTTCCCCTCGCTCCTCGACAAGCTTTTGCTTAGACATGGGTTGTAGTGAAGGGGGGGGTCTTTCTGGCGAGCAGGGCTAGACTCACCCTCAAGGGATGACCGAAACCTTCTTGCTGCTGCGCATATCCGCCGCGAGGCATGCGCGTGGTGGTGTAGTTGGGTCGGCACTGATGGGGTCAGGCGAAAAAATGTAGATGCGCGGGCCTCTGGCCGTCGGCGTA